TTCTGGGGATTTGGATGAATACGTAATGAAATGTATTCACATTTGATTATCACCCAGAAAAAATTTTACTGCCCTTAATATTCTTGGTGCTAGACCCATTTCTCCTCACCCCAGCCACCACTGATCATTTTTATTCTCTTTTTAGTTTTACCTTTTCTAGAATGTCATATAGTGGGAAGCATGCAGCAGGTAGCATGTCTTCCCACAATGGCTTCTTTTATTTCATCATATGAATCTGTTTTCTTCACATTTTTCATGGCTTGGTAGCTCATTTCTTTATAGTGCTCCATTATATTCCATTGTCTAGGTATACTCCTCATATTTATGTATTGCTGAGGACAGAATGTTTGAATTCCTTCAAAATTAATTTATCAAAACCAAATATCCAATGTGATGGAATTTCAAGGAGGGACTTTGGGAACTGATTAGATTATGAAGGAGGAACCCTCAAATAGGAATATTAACTTTATAAAAGACCCCAGAGAGTACCTTGTGCCTTTCACCATCTGAGGCCACAGGAAGAAGACAGCAATCAGTGAACCAGAAAATGAACTCTCGCTAGTCACAAACTAGGCTGACAATTTTGATCTTGGATTGCTCAGAATTCAGAATAGTGAGAAATAAATTCTTATTGTTTATAAGCCACACAGTCTATAGTTATTTTTATAGCAGCCTAAATTAATTAAAACATTCATTCACCTACTGAAGAATATCTTGATAGTTTCTGGTTTCAGCGATTATGAATAAAATTGTTACAAACATCCATGTATAAGTTTTTGTTTGGACAAAAGCTTTTAGCTCTTCTCCAATGAGTGCAATTTCTGGATAAGATAGGGAAAATTTGTTTAGACTTATAAAACCCACCAGATTGCCTTGCAAAATGGCTATATTATTCTGCATTTCCACCAGCAATGAGTGAGTGTTTGGGTTACTCCACATTCTCATTCTCACCAGCATTTGGTGTTGTCATTATTCTGGATTTTGGTCATTTAAATAGATGTGAAATAATAAGGAATTGTTTTAAATTGAATTTCCTCAGAAACATATGATATGAAACATATTTTATATGCTTATTTATCATCTGTACATCTTTGTAAAGTGTCTATTAAAGTCCTTGGCCTTTGTTTTAAACAAGTTGTTTTCTTATTGTTG